GCCGTACCAACATGCAGAGAAGTTCAGGGATTTGTCCGTGGGACACTGCTAATTAGTAAGGAGATGTGACTGTCAGGACATCGGTCTGGATCTCATCACTAACCTCCCGCCTCTTGTGTGCGTCCCCGACAGTTAACCTCGAGGAGCAAAGGAAGTACCTGACACGGAAGCTCATCGTGGTCTCTAACAGGTGAGATGGGGACTCTGCGCCATCCCCCCACCCCTTTCTGCTGACGCAGTCAGCCAGCCTGTCCACGTCCAGTCTCCCTGGCCTTCTCGCCTCCGCGCCACGCTCTCCAGTCCTCTAGGTTTTTCCTGCTCTTCTACTCTCTCTCTTCTCTATTTTCCTGCTGCCATCCTTCAGCTGTCTCCACAGAGGTTCCCTGATAATAACAGTCACATAGCCCTGATGTGAATGGACATCTGATTGATGCCAAACATGGTACTAGATACTTTTATAACATTTTTTAAAAGTTAATCCTGCCCTAGCCAGTTTGGCTCAGTGGATAGAGCATCGGCCTGCAGACCGAAGGGTCCCGGGTTCATTTCCAGTCAAGGGCACATGCCTGGGTTGTGGGCTCGGTCCAATGTGCAGGAGGCAGCCAATCAATGATTCCCTCTCATTATTGTTTTTATTTCTCTCTTCCTCTCTGAAATCAATAAAAAAATATATTTTAAAAAAATTAATCATTATGAGAATTCATATGAGTAGGTAATAGGAACAGGAATATTTAATGAAAGTTTACTATATACAAGGCACTGGGCTAAAACTTTGTGCTCATTTTCTCACTTATTGAATTTCCATAAAAGTCCTGTGAGGCAGACACTTATTACTGTCGCCAGCGGAGGAAACGGGTTTAGCATAGTGAAGTGGCATGCTCGAGGTCCATGGCTACGAAATGATCCAGGTCTGTCAGATTCCAAAGCCCTGCTTTTAACGAGCCTCCTGCCCCTCAAATATTATTAGGTATTGTTGTTCCCATTTTACAGATGATAAATCTGAGGCTCAGAGAAGTTAGTTAACTTGCCTAAGGTCACCCAGCTAGTAAATGATAGGATTCAAACTCTGGTAAGCCTGACTGATAGGATTCAGACTCTGCAAAGCCTGTGTCCTTTGTTTGTAATTAATTTTAGAGAGAGCTAGGACGGGAGAGAGAAAGAAGAAAAAAAAAAACAACAGAGAAACATGGATTAGTTGTTCCACTTATTTATGCATTCACTGGTTGACTCTTGTATATGCCCCGATCAGGGATTGAACCTGCAGCCTTGGCATATCGGGACGATGCTCTAACCGAGTTACCTAGCCAGGGCAGAGCAAAGCCTGTGCTAAGAGCCCTCTGCTCCATTACCTTCTTAGACTAGAGAAGTAGTCTCTGCTTGCTCTACTGTTCCGACCTCACCTAAACTGCTACGTACTCCCCTTTGTCTGTATTGGGGTATCCAGACAGGTGGATGAGCTGCAACAACCGCTGGAGCCTAATCTGGAGCCAGAAGTAGAGCCATTAGACCTGCCCCCGGGCCTAGCACCAGGGCCAGAGCTAGGACTAGACCTGGAGTTGGAGCCACTGCTAAAGGCAGGGCTGGATCTGGGGCCGCCACTGGAGCCCGAGCTGGAGCTGGAGCCCACACTGGACCTGGGACCAGAACTGAAGCTGGAGCCTCTTCTAGAGCCTGTTCCACAGCCCGTGCCAGAGCCAGAGCCAGAGCCAGACTTGCCCCATGATCTGAGACACCTGAACACTGAGGAGATGGAAAGTACGTGATGAGATGGGGCTGGGGAAAGGGATGCCTCCCCTTCCCCAACTCCCCTCTCTCACCCATTACAGGAAACGCCCCCATCTAAGCTCCTCCTGGGAGAGGAGGCTCGTTTCCCTTGTGTCCCTTTTACTAGGAAATGGACACACCAACCCCTGCCCTACCTAAGTGCCCCCTCAGGCCCTGCCCAGGCCTCTGCTACCATCTCCCTCACTGTCCTTGCTGGGTTGGGAACTCCTTACCTAAGATCAGGCCCTCACTTCTTTCTCTGGACTACCCAGTCTTCAGAAACAACATGAAGATTGAAGAAATCATGCCAAACGGAGACCCACTGTTAGCTGGCCAGAACACCGTGGATGAGGCGTACAACTTCCACCCGAGCCATTTCTTCATGGATGGGCCCTTGACTCCTGACTACTAGGACTATGTTTCCTCTGTTCTTTCCATATCTTTTACCCCATATAATCCCCGCATCATGGTGTTGCTCTCCCAGGATGGGAAATCAGGCCTGTGCCTCTTCTAAGCTGGGTTAACGGCCTGATTTGAAGTGAGAGGGACATGTGAACCAGAACAGATGTTGGCCATGGCTCTAACTAGGATCCTGGAGGCTGCCTGCTGTGCTGGGAGGGGTAGCGGTTTTAGGAACAGGCCAGGACAGTTAGGAGGAACTTGGAGGGCTCAGAGAAGTCGCTCCTTTCCAGTATGGAAGAATTTCAACTTTTTAATAGCTGGTAAGACTAACCTGGCGCCCACTAGCGTTGGCCCTCAGTGGGGAACTGACACATCGCAGGACTCCATTTCTCCCTCATGCCCAGGATGACCTTCTCCTTTCTTCCTCCCCTCACTCTTGTCCTAAATTTCCTCTTTTCCTGCAGGGACTGAGAGCTTTCTGCCTCAGCCACACTGGGAAGCTCCCCTCTGAAGAGGAAGTAGGAGGTAGAACTCCTCTTCTTACCGATCTCCCTCTGACCCCCGCCCCCCCCCACCCCACACACACCCCAGAGCCAGGGCTGGGCCTGGAGTCCCCCCCCCCCCCCACACACACACACACACACACACCCCAGAGCCAGGGCTGGGCCTGGATTAGAGCCACTGCTAAAGGCAGGGCAGGACCTGGAGCCTTTAGCAGTGGCCGCATCCATTCCTCCCCTGGAAACCGATCCTACCAGCCTACTGTGCCTGTGAAGCTTTGCACAATAACTAATGCTGCCTAGACTCCACTTTCCCAATGCTTAGGAGACCAGGGATGTTCGCTAGCTGGGAACTCAGGAACTGCTTTTTATAGTATAGATTGGTATGTTTACAGAGGAAGGGAAGCCCTGGGTCTTAGATATTTCTCTATTAAGATGTCATCCCTTTCTTGTGTGCAATATATTGTTTACCTGAAAAGACTGTTTCTATTCCTTGGGCATGGACCTGGGCAGAGATCAAGTTCCTGGAACTTAGGACCTTGAAGGTTTTTCATGAGCTCTGGACAACCTCCCACCTTAGCCATTCCCAGGAAACCCCGGGACAACTGCCTTTGCTCTAAGATGTGCTTCTAGTAAACCTGAGATGCAAATGAAAGTGAGGCCTTCTACACGCGGCTATTTCCTGCCTGGTATGTGAGAGCAGCAGCTTTCAACCTTTTTCATCTCATAGCACATAGAAACTAATTACTAAAATTTTGCAGCACACCCAAAAAAAAAAGTTTTTGGCCGATCTGACAGAAAAATAGGTGTAATTTTGATTCATTCATACAGGATGGCTATTGTTGTGTTGGTGGTTGTTATTTTTTTATTTGACAGTCTAAGAAAGAGGTCAATATATTGTTTACCTGAAAAGACTGTTTCTATTCCTTGGGCATGGACCTGGGCAGAGATCAAGTTCCTGGAACTTAGGACCTTGAAGGTTTTTCATGAGCTCTGGACAACCTCCCACCTTAGCCATTCCCAGGAAACCCCGGGACAACTGCCTTTGCTCTAAGATGTGCTTCTAGTAAACCTGAGATGCAAATGAAAGTGAGGCCTTCTACACGCAGCTATTTCCTGCCTGGTATGTGAGAGCAGCAGCTTTCAACCTTTTTCATCTCATAGCACATAGAAACTAATTACTAAAATTTTGCAGCACACCCAAAAAAAAAGTTTTTGGCCGATCTGACAGAAAAATAGGTGTAATTTTGATTCATTCATACAGGATGGCTATTGTTGTGTTGGTGGTTGTTATTTTTTTATTTGACAGTCTAAGGAAAAAGAGGTCAGTGCTTCTGAATAAAGTTAGGTGTTGTATGTTTAAAAAACTCTGGGGACACTGGTTGAAAATCGTGTGTTAGAGGAACAGTACTATTGAGAAAGAGTCCCATCTGAGCAGAAGTGGCTAATAAACGTTGTGCTGACCTAGAAACGTTTCCTCTTTGATCTTCTTTATTTCCCTTCTCACAAAGACGAATGTTCTTGAAAACACCAATAGGCCATGTCGGGTCAAGGTCAACAAAGCATGGCATGTCTTCCACCCACCCCAGTATGCCCCTCTTGTCATGTTTCTTCTTCTTTCCTCCCTGTTTGGAGCAACCTTTCCTGACCCATAGATTCTTCCAGGGGGAAGTAAGCTGTATATGCGTGTGTGTAAGGGTGGGGGGTGGGGGTGTTAGTTACAGAATTAGCCCTTTGTTCCTCAGCAGGTTGGTGCCAAAGCCAAATTTTAAACCTGGGTCTGTCTGACTCCAAAGCCCATGTTTTTTGTGGATATTGTGAAAATGGAGAAAGGAAGAGAAATAATCACTAGAACATTTCCATACTTCCTTTCAAAGGTAGTTTAACTCCCTCGGGGTAATCAAACTCCCTTCTGAAGGGGCCCACAGATATCCATTGAGGGAGAATCCCATTAGTTTGGGGGATTGACCTTTATCTTCCTGGAATGCCCTTTCTGCTCAAACAGCTCTGACTTTGGATCCTGCAGTGATCGGGATCCCCATCTTTGGCTAAATACACTCTTGGCCAAGAAAGCAGCGAAGGAGGCCCTGGGTCAGGGAGCAAGAGAGGTGTCCCGTTTCCTAATCTCGTCCCCTTGTCATCCCTTTCATCTTGCTTAGCCACGCAGGGATTAAGACCAAAAAGATCCCAGTTACTCTATACACCAGGGGGTCAAAAGGAAATACCCTCTCCACCATAGCCCCAGAGTAGAAGAAGGTTGCATATTATAGTCCCTCATCCCTGTTTTTTCATTTGTTTTCTTTTCCCCAACCAAACCTAGAAATTAGACTTAAATATCCATATAAATAAGTTTATTGAAAAAAGTAAATAAGTCAGTATAAATATAATAAATAATCCTCCCCCTCAAACTGCTGCCAATAGAATAAATAATCCCAAATTTTCCCTTCCCCTCTAATAAATACTTAACATGTCCTGGGTCAGCATCATAAATCCGCCAGTATTGGTAATTTTTCAATGCAGGTCCCATTAGAATTAATGACTGAGTCACTTGTTGGCTCACAGGTGCCTCAGCCAATAGGTTCATCTTAGCCATGAAGATCTGGAGGCCATCCTTAAGCTGTTGGCTTTAGGGGCTCAGGGTTGCTGCTCCATGGGCAAAGACCCGGGCAGCCACAGCCACAAAGGCCTGGAGGCTGCGAAGGATCTTAGGGCGGAGAAGGAGCCGCTGCCATGGTTGGCTGGGACTGAGGCTTGGAGTCTGCTCAGTCGCCCAATGGTGCCCCTCAGTCTGAAAGGACACAGGACACAATGAGAGAGGATTCGAGGTCCTTCACCACCACCACCACCACCCTCGTCTGCCAGAGACTACAAGCTGCCATGCTCCAGCCCCTAACGCATACCTGCAAGAGTTGCCTGAGACCCAGCAGAGAGGCGTGAAGCTGGCTCACAGGGCCATCGGGGAGCAGGGAAGGCTCCCCTGTGAAAATGTCTGAGCCCAGCAGCTTCTCGTAGAAAACCAGGCCCTGGTGGATCCTTTGCAAGCAAGACTGGGAAGAAAAAGCAGTGAAAGAAAACTGAGACCCTCTCCCTAGTCCGTTCCCCAAAGACCCCTCCGGTTCTTCGCCTTTCCCAGACCCAGCTGTTAAGATTAGGAGGTGGGAGGTGAGTATGTCATGAGGATGGAGCCCTCAGGAATGGCACTGGAGTTTATAAAAGAGACCCAGGGCGCTGCCTAGCCACTTCTGAGGTACGATCTGGAAGAGGGCCCTCGCCCAACCATGCTGCTACCCTAATCCCCGTGGGTGTGGACCCAGTGACTTTATTTGTCACAGCCTCCAGAACTGTGGAGAGATTTCTGTCCTTTATAAACTGCCCAGTCCACGGTATGTTGTCACCGCAGCCTGAATGGACAAGGACAGATGTGACTCTTACTAATTCTCCGTGGCGCCCAGATATGTCTCCATGCCCTTCCTTGTGGCCCAGCCTCGTCTTAGCACCTGGCTGTTGTCCCGGAGTCCTTGGGGGTCACAGCCGTCCTCACACTGGATGTGGGGAACATCATTTGTCGTCTCATCTTCCTCTTCTCCTGCTTCTCTTGGTAGATCCTGGAATGGAGCAGAAGCATCCAGTAAGCACTTTCACATAAAGAAGCACATGGACTCAGGCCCGTGACTCTCCCAGGAGCCCTACTTCCCTGTCCTCCAGCTCCCACCCAGGCCACAGAGTCCCCCACGTCCTGCAGCCTTGGAGAGTGTGGGGGGGGCTCCTGCTTAGGCCCGGAGGGTGCCACTCACCACATGTTCCGTTGGCGGGTGCGCACTCCAGGCCAGTGTGCAGAGTCTCTGTGAGAGCTGCTGGCACCGAGCCCAGGCAGGGCTGCTGCCTTTAGGCACGGCCCAGCCCTGAGTGGTCCAGCATGTCGTCAGCAGCAGCAGCAGCAGCATCACAGCTCTGCTCCCCAGCATCCTGGTGCTTCTCAAATCTGGCGGCTCTGTGCCTTGCACCAGTCCTTGTGGAATCTCTGCCCACTTCCCCCTGTTCAGAGCCTGATTCTCTCTGTTCTGTGCGTCTCTGGTTTGGCTTCCTTTGTTCGCTGAGGTTCTCTGCTGCTTCCCTTATTTTTCTCTCCTTGTCTGAGTCCCTTTTTAAGGTCCCTGCATTGTAACACCCGCCCTTTATACTAGCAGGTGACTCACAGCAGGTGGGATTCCCCTCCCTGCATCATCCCCGCTGTGGGGAGCCCAGGTAAGCAGCCTCAGCTCCAGGGGAAATGACTCGTGCGGTTGCTGTGGCTGGAGGCCTGGGATAGGACATATGTGTAATGCTCTCCAGGAATTGAAATGGCTCCAGAAGGGGTGGGGTGGAGTAATGAATATTTAAATGAATCTAGTCTCAAATTCCTTCCTGTTTAACCTTTTCCTCATCTTTCTGCCTCTCAAAACTACCCCCCCCCCCACCTAATGTCCTTACCTCCCCTTGCCTAAGGAAAAATCAAAACATAAGCATTCACTTATTTCCCAATAAAATGGCAATGAAGTTTAGTTCCCACCAGATACCCTCTGAAGATAAGAGGGCTTCTTTTTCTTCATTGGTAACAGTGTCGTTCTCACTGGGAGAGAATGGACATGAAGGCACTTTGAGAACTGGGCAGCCACATACTGCTATATAAAGTGTTACGGCTCCCGCACTTCAGGCCTCACTGTGGAGGGTAGGAGGACTGTTGGAGGGAGGGAACTGTTGCTAAGAACCATCTGATTCTTCAACCTTAGTGGCCCAAAGGGTCATGGGCCCTGTGGGATGCAAGTGATGGTTCTTTTGAGACACCAGTGTAAGCAAGGGCTAGAAGTCCAGCTTAGATATTCCAGCCCCTCCACCATGGCTAAGAAGTCTAGGAGTTCTGGATAGCTGAAGGTGCATAGTTCAGTGACCCTGGCCAGTCCTTCAGCCTGTTGCATCCATGGGTAAAATCCGCTGACACCGATTTCATCACCCTCCCTGATGCAACATCAGTGAAACAGCTAAGAGTGTGAGGTTAGGCGTGGGAGCGGAGGGTGGTCCAAATGTGGGGCTGCCCCCACCCTAAGTGGAGGGTCCCAGGACAATTTGGACGTCAGAATGAGGCCATGGGTGACCACACTGATGGCTCCCAAAGCCACCCCCAGAGGTTGATCCTTTTTCTCTGAGAAACTTACCCTGGACAGAGGTCTCCCTTAGAATTAGTCAAAACTGCCCAGTGAAACTTCTGATTCAAATATGACTCTCTGGTAAATCCATCCTTTGGATAAAACATTTTCAGCATCAGAGATGTTATCTCAGTTTGAGTGAGAAATGGTTTGCTGCTCCCCACATACAGTGGATATTCCCAGAATAAGGAAATTGGTGATGGCAGTGGAACTCACCTCACTTTAATATAAGTTGTCCTATGATGTTTCCACCTCTGATTCCCATCCTGAGAGCGCTACAAGATAGGAGATGAAAGGTGAAAAGGAGGAGGAGGAAGTGGAACTCCGGGGGAGGAGATGACAAGGGCAAGGGTTGAGCTGGAGGCATGGGTTCTGCTGCTCTGTTTCACTTCCTGGTGCTTTGGGAGTTGGGTAGGAAGCAAGGTTGGTGGGGCAATTGTGGGACGGTTGTGTGGCAGGAACTACTTCCGGGACTAGATCTGACCTGGAGCTTCAAGGAGTCCTTGACGTCAGCAGGGCTTTAACTGTTATGCAAATCACATTCACAAGACACGCCTAAGTAGGCCTTTCCAGTTGGATGACCAGGCTCCAAATCCAGTTGAAGTTCCCCCGGGTAGTTAATAATGATAGCTAATATACAGGGTGGGGCAAAAGTAGGTGTACAGTGGTTCATATGGAAAACTGACACAATAATTAATAAATAATACAAGATTAAACTGTCTTTGTGTACTTAAAACTGTACACCTACTTTTGCCCCACCCTGTATATCACCTCTCAAGTTATGCCGAGTGCAGTGGAACCTCGGTTCTCAAATTCATTCTGGAAGGCTGTTCAAGAAGCAATTTGTTAAAAATCCAAATCATTTTTCCCTTTAGAAATCATGTAAATTGAATTAATCCGTTCCAGACCCCTAAAAACAAAAAAAGAAAGAAAATATTCACAGCACAATTTCCTGAGATGTTAACTCAAGGTTTAGCAGTAATCTGACTCAGACTTGAGCATTCTCTCCTGAGACATGTGACTGATCATACAAGTATGAGCATGAAGGGATTGGGAGGTGGTGGTGGGGAGAACCGAAGTTTTGTTCAACAACCAAGATATTTTTTCCATGAACAACTTGGTTGAGAACCAATTTGTTCAAGATAGGAGACGTTGGAGAACAAACTTTCTCTAACATTTTCAATCTTGACACTCTTGAACAACTTTTTTTTTTCTTTTATTAATTTCAGAGAGGGAGAGGGAGAGAGAGATAAAAACATCAATGATGAGAGAGAATCATTGATCAGCTACCTCCTGCACGCCCCCTACTGGGGATTGAGCCCACAATCTGGGCATGTGCCCTTGACCAGAATCGAACCCGGGACCTTCCAGTCCACAGTCCCATGCTCTATCCACTGAGCCAAACTTGCTAGGGCTGAACAACTTTCTTGAACATTTCCCATCTCAAACAATTCGGTTCTCGGCCTGACAACCCTTTCATGCTGATACCTGTATGACAGGTCACGTGTCTTTGCGCTAAGGTATTTTTCTCTGAGTCTAGGACCATGCTGAGTCCTGGAAGTCTAAATTATGGGGTCTCTGTACCAGCCTTTATCAAAGGAGAAAAATGGTGTTTTGGGGATTTTTTAAAAGATTTTATTTATTTATTTATTTATTTTTGTTAATCCTCACCTGAGGATATTTTTCCATTGATTTTTTTTTCAACTTCCAGCATCATTTATTTTTCCTAGAATTTGTATACAATTAATTGCAGCAAGACAGTGCTCAATACTATTTAAGCCTCACATTAGGTTCTTAAACTACCTCAGCATTTGTAAATGTGAGTCACATTCCAGTAAAACTGGGAAACTAAAATCTGACATACCAACAAATTTACTCAATATCAATGTAACTACAAAATTTTATATGTAACACCTGGACTTTACAGAATTTGGCCTTTAGAAACTAGCTTACAACACAAAGTTACTCTTTGCTTACCTGGCCTAACCTATGTAGTGTTACACCAACAGATCCCCCCTTTCCCACAGCTTTTACCATGAAGAGACAGGTGATTCCTCCGTTCAAGACAAAGTGGGGGCGGGGGGGACACCAAAGTTCCCACCCAGAAAAAATGTTAACAGAACTATCCAATTGTAATGTATCCGCAGATATAACACTAGAAATAGGTCATGGGCAACTCTGAAGTCTTTTACCTAAGTAGTATAACCAAAAGAACACACAGGTTTCTCATTAAACTTTGTTATTTTAATGGGTCTCAAAATTCTGTGACAGATTTTTGGTCATGTGGTTCCCATTAAAAAGTACTGATTTTAAAAACAAATAACTTAGAAACTGCCACACACAAAAGAACCAAATGGCCCACAGAACATCCCCCTTTCCTTCTGAAGCTTTTATGATGCATTGTAATCACTCACCAGCCTTTTACTATTAAACCCAAATGGCCGACTGAGACCCACAGATCTGAGAGTTCTTCCACCACCGAGTAAGACGGGTGGCAGGTGTTGGGGATAATATTCATTTACCTTCTGAGCTTCTGGGCCGACCTGGTGACTTTGCCAGCTCCAGCTGCCTTCTCAGCCACGGCTTTGATGACACCCCCAGCAACTGTCTGTCTCATGTCACGAACAGCGAAACGGCCCGGAGGAGGGTAGTCAGAGCAGCTCTCAACACACCTGGGCTTGCCAGGAATCATATCAACGATGGCAGCATCACCAGATTTCAAAAACTTGGGGCCATCTTCC